GTGACTCTGCCATGCTGGAAGTTGGTAATAAACATTTAGAGAACAACCTCAAAGCAGCCAATTTTTTTTTAGTAATGTTTCTCTAAGCACACATTTGTGATCCCTAATTCAGTTCAGGCCACAGAGTGAAGGAGAGGGAGGGGTAGTGTTAAGGACTGAACTGTGTCCCCACAAAATACGTGTTGGAATCCTAACCCTTAAACCTGTGGGGGTAATCCTATTTGGGAATAAGGTATTCTTTGTTGTGTTAATGAGGTCATATCAGCATAGGGTGTGTCTTAATCTAACCACCTTTGAGATATAAAAAGAACAGATTAGGCACAGAAACAAGCAGGCACAAATGGGAGAAAGGTAGATGCCATGTGGAGGTTGCCAAGGAACCGAAGAACGCCAGGGTTACAGAAGCTGAGACAAGTAGCTACCCCTAGAGGTGACAGAGAGCCTTCCCCTAGAGCTGGTGCCTTGAATTCGGACTTCTAGCCTCTTGAACTGTGAGAAAATAAATCTGTATTATTTAAAACCACTCACTCATGGTAATTCTATATGTTTCTGCATGAAACTAAAGCAGGCATTAAGAGGAAAAAGCAGAAGAGGAAGGGATAAAAAGGCAGAGAGGCAGAAAAGAATTGGAGAGAAGCAGGGAAAGTGGGGAAACCTTGAAGGAAAGTTTTTTTTTTTTTTTTAATGTGCGCTTTAGTGGTGTGGGAGGCTTAGTTAAATTGTGGTTTTTCTGTATTACTGCGTATGAGAAGTGGCCATTGGAAGAAAAGGGAAAGAACGAACATAGGTAAAAGGCAAGAGTGTTATGGGGTAAGCCAGTTCACCTGCAAGGGTCTAGGCAGACAGCACAGAATAGGAAGAGAGTTCAGAGATGCGAGGGAGACCTGTTGACCCTGAGTAAAAGAAGGAATAACACTGGAACCCTGAGTGCGGGAAAACAATGAGGGACAGAAGAGCCGAGTTTCCCTCATCACTGAGGGAGCTGCCAAGACCCCAGCCAGCCTAGGTCTGCGGGGTTGTGCTGGGGTGTTGTGGGGTGGGGATAGGGGTGGAAGGAGGACACACGGATAGGAGTTCAAGTCAGTTCCATCACTCCCCAATAGCTTGATTTCAGCTGGTGGCACAGTGGTCAAAATCTCAAGTGCTAACCAAAAGGTTGGCAGTTTGAACCTGCCAGCTGCTCCTCGGAAACCCTGCAGGGCAGTTTTACTCTGTCCTATAGTGTCGCTATGAGTCGGAATCAAGTTGACACCAACAGGTTTGTTTATCAGGGAACCAAAGAGTCCCTGTGTGGTGCAAATGGTTAAGTGCTCGACTATTAGCTGAAAGATTGGCAGCTGGAACCCGCCCAGAGGCACCTCGGAAGACAGGCCTGGTGATCTGCTTCTGAAAGGTCACAGCCTAGAAAACCCTGTGTAGCATAGTTCTACCCTGCACATGGGGTCGCCGTGAGTCAGAACTGACTCCAGGACAACTAACAACAACAGCGTCAGGGAAACAAGCCAAACTGACACAGCTATAAAGACCACTATGTGAAAAGTCTCCCCTCCCTCAGTCAGTTTAACAACTTCTGGTCTCCAGGAAGGCCTGTACACACGCTGTGTACACATTCACACACACACACACACACACACACACACACACACACACACAGAGCAGTCAGGCAGTGAAGCACACGTTGGCATGTAGGAGGCCTGCTGGGCACAAGAGGCGAAGAATGTCTGAGGCAGAAAGGACAGCCTGGGTTTTATGAGCTAAAAATATCTTCGTGACAACGCATCGGAAAGAAATGGGAGAGGCCCAGGGGGAAATCTTCTTGATTCCAACCCACAGATGCTTTCTCACGGAAGGACTGCAGGATTGTTTTGAAAAGGAAATGTGATCAAACATTAGGCGTCATTTCGTTGAATTTGAAAGGAGTTTAAAGTTTAATGTGCCTCGTCTGTGTGTGTGTGTGTTTTAACTGCGGCAGTGGCCTACAATTCACGTATGTTTTTAAAGGCTAATCGAAAATTGCCTGCAGCATAAAAATGATTTGAATTCAGGATATTTCTGAGATTCCCATACTGCAGTGTGTAAAACACAGATTTAATTTAGACAAACTATCCCCTAAAATCTATCTTTCCGAGTGCCCGTTAAAAGAATTCCTGCAAATATGACTGCCTCCTCCTCCTTTTATTTTCAGAGCATTTGATAGCCTTTAACGCCTTAATCCTAAGAGAAGCAGTCTTTAACATATTCTGTCTGTGCACCCTCCAAAACTGAGTATCACAGAATTAAGAACCTTTCTCTCCAACATGGTGTATCGCACAGACTTCATTCCTGGTTAGCTCACCCCACACAATGAACAGAGCAGAGTAACCACATTATCCATCCTCGTGACGATCCATCAGCGGGGTGGCGTAGGATTAAAAATGACTGTGGGGTGGCATTTAAAGGTAGGCTGGCAGCTGAACAACAGCCTGATTTCAGATAATGGTACATCATCACGTGGAAATAAAATCAGTAACTCATTACAGGTAAAACATCTTGAAACTCCACACCTGTCATCCTAGAAGGATAGACAGAAAAGCCTAAAAACATGACAATGACTATGTTGTTCTTGTTAGGTGCCATTCAGTCCATTTTCAACTCACTGCAACCCCATGTAACAGAGTAGAACTGCCCCCAAAGGGTTTTCTTGGCTGTAATCTCTAGGAGAAGGAGCCCTGGTGGTGTAGTCGTTAAGCGCTCTGCTGCTAACTAAAAGGTCAGCAGTTTGAACCCACCAACCACTCCATGGATTCCAAAGATTACAGCCTTGGAAAACCTATGCACCAGTTCTACTGTCCTATAGGGTCGCTGTGAGTCAGAATTGACTTGATGGCAGTTGGTTTAATCTTTACGAAAGCAGCATGCCAGGCCTTTCTTCCAAGGAGCCACTGGGTGGGTTCAAACCGCCAACCTTTCAGTTAGCAGCCAAGTCTCAACAATTGCACTACCAGGGTTCCTTTGACAAGGGCTATATTAGGAGCCCTGGTGGCACAGTGGTTAAGAACCCGGCTACTAACCGAAAGGTTGGCAGTTCAAATCCTCCAGCCACTCCTTGGAAACCCCATGAGGCAGTTTTACTCTGCCCTATAGGGTGGCTATGAGTTGGAATCTAGCTCGGCTGCTAACCAAAAGGTTGGCAGTTCGAATCCACCAGTTCCTTGGAAAATGTATGGGGCAGTTCTGCTCTGTCCTATAGGGTCACTATGAATTGGAATGAACTTGATGGCAATGGGTTTAGTTTGGGTTGGTTTTATATTAGGGCCTTACTACCACACAGAAATGGCTTAGCAATACTGAAAGCCCTGAATCAGCCCATCCCGGTTAGTCACAGCCTGGTAATTGCCCAAAATAAACAATAACAATTTTAAAAAGTAGTGGTTTAGAAAACGTTAAAGATTCCGTGCATCTGCCATCTAATAATGGGTCTAAGCATAGTCATCACCCTTACATGGGATCAGCATGTGTTTAAGTTTCCTTTCACTTCACATTAAAGGCCCCCCACAGAGTAACTGGTCTAGATGAGGAGTGGGTTCCAGCTCCAGCTAAGCCAGTCACGCTAGCTTCTGGAGCCAAGCTTGTCTGCTGGTCCTTTGGTCTGCCTTGACTCTGCAGGCAAGTGCCCAGGACGATTCTTCCTGGTTTATCCAAATGGGACATGAACGAATTCAGGAAACCTCCTGTTTTCTCCTACGTAGCAAGAGCCAGTAATAATGCCTGAACTCCAAGCCGCTCTCCTGCCGAGCCATGTGGCTGCCCAGCCTCCCCCAGCCTTTTGCCCTGACTGCAGCTTTACCTTTTGCTTTGAGGGTGGATGAGTGAAATAGAAATCAAAGTTTATGAGGAATGACCCCAAACACCTACAAGGCATTTGTTAGTATCTGGGTGCCAGGGGAGTAGAAAAGTATTACGAAACAAAGTCCCTTTCCTCAAGGGGCTAACCATCTAGAAGCTGGAGATGAAATGAACAGATATGAATAATTAGTAAACAATATCAAGTCCTCTAAGACCACCCATCACGGCTGGCCCTCTGAGTACCCTTCACATTATCCTAGCCTTGTTTTGTTTGAAGGGAATTTAGACATAATCTTATTAGTTCATTCCCTAATCTCTTCCCTGCCCCATTTTACTGATGATGAAATGCAGGCCTCGGGAAGCCAAAGTGAATTACCCAAGTCACAGGGCCAGCAAGAAGCAGAGTGCGAACTTGAAAGTTTCTTGACCTCTTTTTATTATTTATTTGGCCTCATTTTTCTCCTTTCCTTTTAAAAAAATTTCCATATTCTAAGAGACCATCTTGAACTTGAAAGTCACATGAAGCTTACTTAGCTTCTAAGATGAAGTAATAACATTTCTCCTCTTTTTCCCTCAAGGCTCTGTCCAGCGCCAGCAAATGCCTAGGTTGCTTGGAAGGGGCGGAGGGCCGCGGGACAGGGGCTGAGAGGGCGCCCACAGCCAGCACAGAGCTGAATAGAATTTCCTGGCCCAAGAATGTGGTGTTGACTTTTTCCCTGCACGAAACAGGGATCAAGAAAACATGGGAGTTCTCCTTACTTCTCTGCCACTGACGTGTTCTGGGGCTGGAAGCCAATTACTCAATCCTTGCCATCCCCGGCTCCCTCCGAGAAGCAGGGCTTGTATTCTTGATCAAAACTTGTGGGGACACTAGGTACCCAAACAAATAGTTCCCAGGCAGCTCTGAAATGGAGAGTGTGTAGCCTCTTCTGCTCAAGGAGTTAATCTCTTCTCGCCTGTTTGAAATACTAAACCACCGACACTTTCTCGCAGCAGAAACCTGTCATTTTCTCAACCCAAGCTAGTCTCTACACGAACAAGTTAAAACGTGGGGAGAGGAAGGCGGAGGGAAGTAAAGACAGATCATTTCAGTACAGGAGAAAACAAACGTGTTTTGGAAAATGGGTCATTGGTTAAGAAACAGATCCGGCAGGCGGCAACGCTGAATAACTTACCTAGGGTCACCACCGACAGACAGACCGGGTCAGGAGGGTGGTCGTGTGCTCTGTCTCTTCTCTCTCTACCTTGGGTCGCTCTCGGCCCCCCTCCGCCCTCTCCCGGCCCAGGTAAGTAGTAGAACAGGCTCTGAAGCAGGAAGTGGAAGTTGTATGCAAATTTCTACTGAGGCTAGAAAGCCTCCGCTCAAAAATTTCCCTAGGGGCAGTGAATCAACAGCTGAGAAGTCACTTTCTTAAAAAGAAACCTTCTTCATTCACGAGAAATGGCCAGTGACCACGTAGGCTGCATTTTGTGTTTTCGCCACCCAGCTGAGGGCTGTGGAGGAATGCCTATGCCTCTTAGCCTCAGGGTCATTGCTCTACCCTACCCGCCGGAGAAGGATTGAACTTGGTTGTTAAGATCCGGTTTTTCGTTCCTTCCTGAGCAGTTCCACAGGGGGAGACTGGGGGCAGTTAATGGGAGGAGTATAAAGGAAGAGATTCACACTATCTAATGGCTTAAGACATTAGTTTTCGCTACACATAACGACAGAGGGACGGTTCATTCATTGCCTATCCTCCTGCAGCCCTCCTCCCCATTGTCAGGCATGAAAAAGCAGCTACTTTGAGAACACACACACACACTGTCCTCCTCTGGCTGCACCTCAGTTTTTCATGACCTCAAGTTTATTTCTTCCTCCTCCTTTCCCATTGTTTAATCAGTAATCTACAAAATTAATTGCTTTTCCAGCAAGAAGCAGATGCTGAAGGCAGGGTGATACCACAGAAATATGTGCATATAAAAACAGTAGACATTTGGGGCAGCAGAGTGTGACGGGGACTGGGGCAGTGTGAGCTTTGGAGTCAGAGGTATGAGGGGCAGGTTGCTCTACATTCTACAAGCAGAGGAAATGCAGTTTGATTTTTAAATGGCATATACAGATTATATACATTTTAGTATATCCCTGCAATGGAATACCACACAGCTGTTAAAAATAATAAAATCAATTTCTACCTGTTGTTGTTAGTTGCCATCCAGCTGATGCTGACTCATGGCAACCCCATGTGTGCAGAGTAGAACTGCCCAATAAGGTTTTCAAGGCTGTGATCTTCAGAAGCAGATTGCCAGGCCTGTCTTCTGAGGTGCCTCTGAACGTGTTTGCACTGCTGACCTAGCAGTCTAGTGCCTAACCATTTGTGCCACCCAGGGACCACAATTTCTACATACTAACATGAAAAGAATGGCTTTCAGATATCTAGTGAAAAAACATTATCTCACTTTTGTCAATATATACATTTCTATTTGTTCAGCACTGGTCCCGACACCTAGTGCACTGCCCAGAACACAGTAGGCAGTCACTATATATCTGTTAAATGACTAGATAAGAAAAGGCTGGAAAGATAGGCACCAAACTGTTACGTAGTGCTCACCTCAAGGGAATGGGATTAAGGGAAATGAGTGAGATGGAGATTTTTTATATTATGCACACATATGGGCTGTTTGATTCCTTTTTCTACAATAAGCATATAGTACTTTAATCATTAAAAAGAATAAAGATTTTTTAAATGATACTTATCATCTTGGCCTTGAACTTTCTGCCTTAAAATTATATAAAAATATTTATTTATTTATTTAGAAAGAAAAATAGCATTCTCTGTGGGGCAGTTGGTACCACGATACTTTGCAAAGCTGTCAGTGTGTTTGGAAGATGAAAACAGAAAGGAAAAAGAACAAAGGCAAGGGGAGGAAATGGGAAGGAGAGTGAAGGAAGGGTAGGTATGAAAATATTTCTCATGTCTCTTGGATATCCATAAATAGATTGGGAAAAGCCTCAAAGAATACAACCCATCAGGAAGAATACGGGGAATTATTTATTTCCAGCTCTCCTACCAACTTTTCCTGGATGTGGGGCCTAAGGTCCCTGTAGGAAGAATATCAAGTGTTCAAGTGCTGATTTTAATTGCTGTGAGCTGAGCCTTCCTGATGTTTTAAATTTATCCTTAGCAGAAAGCAGACACTTAAGGAGATGAGTTAATGCCGCTGACACAGGAGCCTCTGCTGGGGCCTTGAATGAAAAGCAGCCTGAGGATGCAAACTGTTTAGAGAGGGTGTCCTGGACACGAGACACTTCTGTCTGATCATACCTGATGCAGTTACAATGAAATATGGATTACAGGGGAAATACCAGTGAGCCAGGGAAACGAACGCCCCCAGCCTGCAGGAGCTCCCAGTGGTGCTTTCAGGCTAAGACATATATCCTGTTAGTTGCCACCACAGGAGAGGGACTTTTCACTGAGGACCAACCATACGCTAAACATTACCTGTTGACATATTTAATCCTCCAAACAGTGCTGTGAGATGCGTTTACTATCATTTCCACTTTACGTTTGAGAAATCCCAGGCTCAGAGCCATTGAGCAATTCCTCCAAGTTCACACAGCAAGTCCGTGGAAAAAGATTCAAACCTGGAGCTCTCCGACTTAGAGGCGGATATTATTTCCCTTCCCTGCATCACCCCTGTGTCATCTGTCCTTCCTACATGCTTGGGTGGAGCACAGGTAATTTGTTTCTTTGCACAACTCTTGACAATGCTCAACAGTGGAAAAAGGTGTAAGCAATAAAAGGGTGGGGTTGTGCCAGTCACCCTGGTACTGTTTCTATGGTGATGGTTGCTCTATAAATAATAGGTAGAGAAGCCAAGATACGGGTCAGGCCTGTAGTTCCTGTAGTTAAAAATCTAGGAGGGAAGGATATGTTTTTGGTAGTGCGTGTTCAGTATTCTTCCAAAAAGAATCATTAGATAAAGGTCAGCTTCTCCCACTTCCATAACAAAATAAAATAAAACGAAAACCATTTGAACCTAATCCTCAGAAACTGTCCATTCTACAGCACTAATCTATGAAAGGAAAGTAAAAGAATGAAAAAGGAGAAAGTACAAGATTCATTCCTTGGACAAACCTTGATTTTCCATTTTTAAATGCTATGATTTCAAGTACTGAAAGGACAGGGTGCAACTGTGACAGAACACGAGAAAAAGAAAGTTCCTGCCCTGCACTTACCTGAGAATGGCTCTTGTTCAAAGAGTTCTTGGTATGCAAAATGCTGGCTGGCTAACTCTCGCCATACCCTCTCAGTGGATGGCCACAAGAGGGTTCACCACTGAGGCAGAGGCAGGAAGAGAAGAAACACACAGGCTACCAGCATTTGGTCCTGTCCGTCTTGGTTCACTCTAGTCCCACAATCTTTGGTAAGTGTGTGCCTTATTCTAGACACACACGGGGTGGTAGGCATGTGCAGTGCAATGGGCCTTTCTCTCTGTGGTCTTGTAACTCCCACCAAATGATTGGGTGGGACTATGCAAATAAGGTGCTTGTGGCCCACCAGGGGGAATGGACAGCTTGCTAATTATGCAAATAAGGTGCATGGGACCTGTGTGAGGGTGGGACTATGCAAGTAAGGTATATGGAACCCTAATGAGGGGATTGGTCAGTTTTGCTAACCTGTTAGGCTTAAAATGAGCCATCCCAGAGGCAGAGGCAGACACAGGGGACCTCACTATAACCAAGAAGAGATGGGAGTGGAGCACATGCTTTGGACCAGGGTCCCTGCACTGAGAACCTCCTAGACCCAGAAGACAGACAGAGCGCTGTAACACCAGAGACAGCACAATATGGTAAGAAGCAGTGGCAGAGAAGCGGCGGCAGTAGAACCAGGAGACCGGCATGGGATGGCGCACTGAGCTTCCCAGCCCACAGAGTAAGGCAGTTACAGTGGGTGCGCTGACCCACGGAGCGAGAGAGCTGAGCACCTTTGGGCAGGAGGTTTCCTGGCAGAGTCAGGTGCCTCGAGGCCGCTTGTTGGCGGAGCTAAAAAGCTTTGTAACACTTGCCCAAGCAGGGCAGAAGCTGGGCTGAGGGGCCAAGGGGCTGAGAGAGAGGCCAGACAGAGGCCTGCCTGTGGGCATGGCTGAGAAGAGGCTGCTGTGATCAAAGAACTGTACCCTGAGTCGTCCCTGATCCTGAATTGTAACATGTTATTTCCCTAATAAGTCTCATAACTTTGAGTATGGCCTGTGAGTTCTGTGTGACAATTGCAATGAATTCTCGAACCCAGCAGTGAAGTAGAGAGTGCCGTGGGACTGGTGTCAGAACTGGTAAAAAGGTCCGAGGGTGGAGGTATGTCTGACCTCCACCTCATAGGAATCAGCTTTGGGCTGTTGATGCTGATAGTGATTCTCTCTCCTTCCCCTTGTGAAGTTAGATAAGGAGGTCAGATGCCTATGCCACTCCATTCTTTTTTTTTTTAATTTCATGGCATATTTATTCATTATAGCCGCAAATGGGAAGCAACCCAAATATTCATCAACAAGATAATGGAAATGTATATTCATACAACAGAATACTATCAGCACTACAAAGGACTAAACTACTTTCATAGCAACAACTTGCAGTATCTCGAACATATTATTTTGATTGAAAGAACCTGGAAATAAAAGAATACAACTGTATTATTCTATTTAGACGCAGTCCAAGAACAGGTGAAGTGAATTCATAATGATAGAAATCAAAATAGTGATTGCCTCTAGGGAGAGAAATGTTGACTGGAGAGGGGCACGAGGACATGTCCTATGATGATTAAAGGTTCTGCATCTTTTTTTTAATATTGTACTTTAGATGAAGGTTTACAGAACAAAGCTTCTCATTAAACAACTAGTACACATATTATTTTGTGACATTGGTTACCAGCCCCACGACAGGTCAACACTCTCCCCCTTCTCGACCTTGGGTTCCCTATTACCAGCTTTCCTATCCCCTCCTGCCTTCTAGTCCTTGCCCCTGGGCTGGTGTGCCCCTTTAGTCTCATTTTATGGGCCTGTCTGATCTTTTCTACCACCCTATTTTTACAGTATGCAAACTAAAAGTTTCTCCACACGTCTTTGTGTCTCTTGCAGAAGCAAACACTGTAAATACAGGAAGTTCCAAACTAGCCACCACACAAGGTTGAGGAGTCCCCTGGTTGCTTCTTCTCCACTGCTTTGGTGGATTGTATCCAGTGCATA